TGAGTAATTTGGAGAACCGGTAGCCGAACTTTTGAGTAATTTGGAGAACCGGTAGCAGAAATTTTGAGTAGTTGGGAGAACCGGTAGCAGAAATTTTGAGTAGTTGGGAGAACCGGTAGCAGAAATTTTGAGTAGTTGGGAGAACCGGTAGCAGAAATTTTGAGTAGTTGGGAGAACCGGCAAATGCCACCTCTGGCTGGCCCCAGATTGGGGAGGGAATGGGGATTATGCAGTATCCTTCCCCTGCCACGCCTACCAAACCACACCACGCCCACAAAGCCACACCAATTCAACTGAATTGAATTTAACCCCGGAGGAATGGCTCTGCATGTCACTTCCGGCACGCGTGCCAGATTCACCATCACGGATCTATGATCTCCCAGTGAGATTCCTTCCCCAGTTCATGGTTCCGGTGGCCAATGATCCATCGGAACATTTCCCCCCTCCCCCCCTCCTCCCAGGCTGGCTTCAAAGGGTCTCTGGAGTGCAAGAACATAGTTAAGGTTGTCGTAAGGTTGGAGTCGTCTAAACCACACTTTTTCCTAACGCTCCGTTTCTCCCCTTGCTTACTTCGATTGTTGCCAACAGTAGTAAGTCTGAGGCAGATCCTGGAGACAGGAGTGAGAAAGGGAACAGCTTTCGCTGTGCAACCTGCAATCAGCTGTTTTATACCGAAAGGGGCCTGAGCAGTCACTTGTGTTTCTGTGGTGAGCAGTGGCAGTCTCCGTCAGGGAAGGAAAGACAGCAGGTAAAGGGAATCTCACCTGGGTAAATCAATGTTCCTTATCACCGATGCTGAAGGAGCCCATCGAAAGAAGGAGGCCGGCCGGATAGTCAACCTCAATTTTCTTTTTTATCGGACTTAGTTTAGATTCTGGTCTCTGCAGGGTCCTTGGTGCTCTCTGAACGTGGCGGTTTTTGCTGCAGACATTTCATAACCCAGCTAGGGAATGTCATCAGTGCTAGAAGGGAGCAGGGTTTGCTCTCTGTTTATAAACAACCACTCCCTTCTAACACTGATGACGTTCCCTAGCTGGGTAATGAAACATCTTCAAGAAAACAATCAAGCTCAGGGAGCGTCAAGGACTGCACACTCCTCCTCCTCCTCCTTCGCCATCTTCTTCGTCTTCCTCCTCCTTCCTGCAAACTCCACTTCCCTCTAGCACTGATGATGTTCCCTAGTTGGGTCATGAAACATCTGGAAGAAAACCACCAAGCTCAGAGAGCACCGAGGACCCCAGAGGAATTGGCATCATCATCTTCTTCTTCTTCTTCTTCTTCTTCTTCTTCTTCTTCTTCTTCTTCTTCTTCTTCT